TATTTTTTATATATCATTAATGGGAAATTGCATTTGAAGGCGTTTTCTAATCACCTCAGAATTTTAGTTTCTGTTCTTTGATCCCAAGGTTTTTAGCTTTTACATGTAAAACAAAAAATAGAGTTCTCTATCAGGGCGATATGAGAGAATGATTTGGGGGACAGATACAAGGGGTTACAGGAGAGTCTTAAGGTTACTGTCAAATCCCTTGCAGTAAATGGGAATAAGGGAAATTCTCTAGTTTGCGGAGAAAACTTACTTCATTCTGCTTCAATGATTTGTTTCTAAATATTAGGAATATTAAGACCTGTTTAATCATATTTTAGATTTGTACCTGAGATGGCTGATTGGTTTTTTCCATAAACCACTATGGAGGTAGAGCTGTGCACAGTATGCTATCTGCCATAATAGAGGTGAATGTGGCTTGGTGAATCTCATTGATGACAAAACAGCCATTTTGGAGGATTTCATGTGCCTGCTGAGTGATCTTGAGTGAAGGATTTACGACTCATTCTTTGTCATCCTGGTTTATCCCCACCATGTGAGTCCCCTTCAAGCAGTGTAGTTAGGAGGTTGCTTATCTCCTCTTCTCCTCATACCACAGGTAGAAGAAGGTGGATTTGCATCATCACAGTTCACCACTGCCACATCCAAACCTAATGCTTCTGTCTTTTTGTAAATAAAGAAGACCCTTTCCTTTGTGACCGCTACCATTTTGGCTCTATCACCTCCCAGCCTACTTCATCACTGTTACCCAGCTCCGCCCCCATCTAGCACTATCATTTGTCATCTGTCACTGAAAGTCTTGGCACTTGGCTGTGTCCTGCCATCATCCCGGGTGACCTCAAAGTCCATGTTGATAAGCCACCTGTCACCCTGGCCGCCCAGCTCCTTAACGCCCCTCCTATCTAGTGACCTTTACTTCTACTACGCTTTATCTATTTACCTCAAGGGCTGTGTCCTGTGATTTGTCGTCCTGGAAGCTGATCCCTCTGTGAAATTTAACATGCCCCTCTCTGACCGCAGCGTTCCATCCTCTAAGCTCCTTCACTTTCCCCCACAC